GGATGCATTTGACCGAGAGGTAGACAAATTATTAAAACTAAAGATCATTGAACCTTCAGTATCTTCATATTGTTCACCAGTAGTCATGGTTAAGAAGGAGGATAATTCATATAGACTTGCTATTGACTTCAGAGGCCTTAATGCTATAACTCGGTGGGATGCTGAGCCTGTGCCCTTAATAGATAGCGATCTACACAAACTTTATGACGCTTCCTTCTTTTCAGAGATTGATATTGCACAGGCATATCATCAAATAATGTTAGATCCTTCTTCTAAGCAGTACACCGCTTTTCCTACACACCAAGGACTGATGCAATATAGAACTATGCCCTTCGGTTTGGTAACTGCCTGTACTACCTACGTGAGACTGATGAGAAAGGTCTTGGGTAATATGCCAAATGTTTCAGTTTATTTTGATAACATTTACATAATGACATCCACGTGGGGCGAACATATCCAAACATTAACATCAGTTTTGCGTAGGTTACGCTCACATGGCCTCACTGCCAAGCCGAAGAAATACTTCCTTGGGTATAACAAGATTAGATATCTTGGACTGATACTTTCTAATAACTCTCTGCAGCCTCTCCTCAGTAAGATCAAAGCTTTACTAGAATTTAAATTCCCCAAAACCAAGAAGCTCATGCGTAGCTTTCTTGGTTCTGTAAATTTTTATGCATGGTTTATCCCAAACCTTACTGATCTTACAGGCATCTTATCCGACTTCCTTAAAAAGTCTGTGAAGGAACCTCTTGAACTTTCTGACGTAGCTCGGGAAAAGTTTAATGAGATTAAAAGTATCTTTTCGAAAGACTCTATACTTAAGATTCCAGATATTAATAAAACATTTTGTTTAAGAACTGATGCCTCCAATACTGGTTTAGGTGCGGTGTTACTACAATACCATGATGATACTCCCTTCCCTGTATGCTTCCTAAGCTGGAAACTCCTTCCTGCAGAAACGAGATACTCCACCATAGAAAAGGAATGTTTGGCCCTTGTGTGGGGTATCTCCAAACTTAAATTTTATTTGCTGGGAAAAGAATTCATTTTAGAAACGGACCACAAACCTTTGATATACCTAGAAACTTTTAAGGGAACCAACAGTCGCCTCTTGAGGTGGACATTGACACTCCAGGCTTTTAAGTTCCATATTGTGTATATCAATGGTTCATCCAATTATTTCTCTGACTGGTTAAGTCGTGACAGTCAGAAGAAGATTTCTTGCCTTACGCGACTTCCTTATGTTAGAACTTTTTCCTCGCCTATTCTTCTTATACTCCTTGACTATAAGTCTTGGTATGGGGGAGTGTGAGGGAAAAGTTCAATAGATAGGAATAGAGAGTGAGTATATAGTAACAATAGTTTCATTGCCGGCTACTTGTTAAGGTAGGGTAAGTCAAGCTCCCGCCTTTTCTCCCCCACCCCTAAAGTGATAGTTTGATTGCCGGCTACTTGTTAACGTAGAGTCAGTCTAGCTCCCACTATCCCTCCCCCTCCCTCTTCTCGCCCCCCTGAAAGGTGACATGTGGGGCTCTGGTCAAACAGTAAATCACTCGACTCACAGCTCCCAACACTACTGTAAGTACATGCCTGCCTTGTATTCTAGTGGATTTATTGGTTGAAAGCGTCACTTTTGACCAATAATAAACTTAGTCCTTTCAGTCTTGCTCTAGCTTGACTGTTGTAATAATCACCACATCTTTTGGGTATTGTACTTACCATGGAGAGTGATTTCTTAAGCAGTGGGTAACCTGTCTATCTTTCCAGCTTGGATGACAGAGAGGGTCACCTGTCAATCAACGAGAAGAAATGATGGAGAAGGAATAACGTCCAGAGACTTCCCCATTTTGGATTTAATTACCTGTGCACCTGTAGGAAATTGCAGGACGTAACCCCACATCATTGCAGCGGTAAAGAACCTGCTTTCCTGTCATCGGGATAGAATACTCAAGGCTCTATCTACTGTGAAGAACTAGCCAGTGGGTCGTAACCAACACCTGCGACCCCCCCCCATCATCAGCAACGGCTATGATTTCAACAACACAGTGTCACCAACACCAGACACCCCTATATATATTAGCGTTGAATTAAGTTATCATTTATATTTTTCATTTTTCATTTTCTTTAATGTAGGATTAATATTTCATATTTAAGTGTTTTACATTTTAAATTTCTATATAATAAAGTATTTATGTTTGTCTGTTATTATTTCTTTTTCTATTCATTAATTTTCCTGAAGAGGAGCCAGCCTGAGTAATACTTACTGAAGTTGTTACAGGGCTGAGTAAGCCTTCACAATTCCAGTAATTAATTTTTATAGTGGGCTAGAAGAAGATAAATTATGTAACATCACAGTCACTAGTGAAATGATTGTGAAGCAGATAGACAGACTGAAGCAAAATAAGTCGCCGGGTCCTGATGAGGTTTTTTCAAGGGTTCTTAAGGAATGCAAAATGGAACTCTGTGAACCATTAACTAATATTTTTAATTTATCTCTTCAAACAGGTGTAGTGTCTGATATGTGGAAGATGGCTAATGTAATTCCTATTTTTAAAACAGGGGACAAGTCGTTACCGTCAAATTACCGCCCAATAAGCCTGACCTCAATTGTAGGCAAATTACTATAGTCAATTATAGCTGAGATTATAAGAAGCCATCTCGATAAGCATAGCTTGATTAATGATACTCAGCATGGATTCACAAGAGGCCGGTCTTGTCTAACTAATTTATTAACTTTCTTCAGTAAAGCTTTTGAGGCTGTTGACCACGATAAAGAATTTGATATTATTTACTTAGATTTTAGTAAGGCTTTTGATAGAGTTCTGCACCATAGACTGTTAAAGAAAGTGGCAGCTAATGGCATTGGGGGAAAACTGCTCTCGTGGATCGAGTCATGGCTCACTGACAGGAAGCAGAGAGTGTCCATAAATGAGGTTAAATCCGAGTGGGGATCTGTAACAAGTGGCGTTCCACAGGGATCAGTCTTGGCCCGTTGTTGTTTATAATATATATCAATGATCTTGATGAAGGAATTACTAGTGATATGAGCAAATTCGCCGATGACACAAAGATAGGTAGGATAATTGATTCACACGTAGATGTTATGGAACTTCAGGAGGATTTAAACAAACTCTATTCTTGGTCAGAAAAGTGGCAGATGCAGTTCAATGTAGATAAATGCAAGGTTCTGAAGCTTGGGAGTGCCCATAACCCTAGTACTTATAAGTTAAATGATGTAGAACTTAGCCATACAGATTGCAAAAAGGACTTGGGGGTTATGGTGAGCAGCAACCTTAAACCAAGACAGCAATGCCTAAACGTACGTAATAAGGCAAATAGATTACTAGGATTTATATCAAGAAGTGTAAGCAACAGAAGTCCAGAGGTCATACTGCAGCTTTATACATCATTAGTAAGGCCTCACCTAGATTATGCAGCTCAGTTCTGGTCTCCATATTACAGAATGGACATAAATTCGTTAGAAAACATTCAGCGTAGGATGACTAAATTAATACATAGCATTAGAAATCTCCTTATGAAGAAAGATTGAAGACTCTTAAGTTACATTCACTTGTTAGACGAAGAATTAGGGGAGACCTGATCGAAGTGTATAAGTGGAAGATAGGTATTAATAAAGGGGATATTAATAAGGTCTTGAGGATGTCTCTCCAAGAGAGAACCTGCAGTAATGGATTTAAATTAGATAAGTTTAGATTTAGAAAGGACATAGGAAAGTATTGGTTTGGAAATAGGGTAGTTGATGAGTGGAACAGTCTACCTAGTTGGGTTATTGAGGCTGGGACTTTGGGTAGTTTCAAATTTAAGTTGGATAAGTACATGAGTGGGAGGGGTTGGATTTGAGTGGGACTTTCACATCAGAGCTTATTTCTTGGGTGGCATTGAAAACTGGGTTGGGCAAATGTTTGTTAGTGGGATGAATTGTAAAGGACCTGCCTAGTATGGGCCAACAGGCCTCCTGCAGTGTTCCTCCTTTCTTATGTTCTTATGTCTAAGTGTCACGGCCTAAGTGTCAAGATCTGAATGTCACTGAATGTCACGGTCTGAGTGTCACGATCTGAGTGTCACGGTCTGAGTGTCACTGTCTGAGTGTCACGGTCTGAGTGTCACGATCGGAGTGTCACGGTCTAAGTGTCACTGTCTGAGTGTCACGGTCTAAGTGTCACGGTCTGAGTGTCACGATCGGAGTGTCACGGTCTAAGTGTCACTGTCTGAGTGTCACGGTCTAAGTGTCACGGTCTAAGTGTCACGGTCTGAGTGTCACGGTCTGAGTGTCACGGTCTGAGTGTCACGGTCTAAGCGTCACGGTCTGAGTGTCGACCTTTTAAGCTGACAGCGGATGTTTGCTCAACCCACAATAACATCGTACCGCATGACAAAGTATAACAATAGACTAACAAAATACAACAATGAACACTGGTAAACAAACACGTTATCTCATGAACCATCTACGAGATAAATATTTTTTTAAATAAGAATTTATTCATAAATGATCCATAGTGTTATTTCTACCTACACAAGAAAGTCCGAAATAATATTATCTATACGAGTGACTTGTGTATTCCCCCGCTGCCAGACGTTGACTTCTACTGTAAGAAATTTAGATACCAGAAATTACCTAAATCAAAGTTAAAAAGAAATTAAATCAAATTTAAGTAACCTGAACAAAAATTATTCAGATTTAATTCGTCGCAAAATAAGTCTGTTGAGAAATAAACAGACGAAAATAAATTACCAAATTTATATACACTACACTGTGTGGGAGTCATGATCTATATTCAGGTTTACCATGATCTATATATCCTACTGTGTCACAACTGATTTATATACAACAAACTACATCATACATCATCTAGACTCAGGAAATAACGAAAACGTAATGACACAATTGCGAACACTATACGTTTACCCTTATTTACATTTCGTTCTCTATGTAACTACCCTGATCTACGAACAACACAATGTTTAGCTATGCTTACCAATATAAATGGTCCAATTCGGAGCTAAACGTCGTCTACGCTCCTCTCTCCTACGTGTGGATTATTTGTGTATTAATCTTGTATTACTCCAGATCCTCTACTGCCACTTGTTGTGTTTGTAAAGGCCACTTATTGCTCACCCAGCATTAGATCTCTGCTTCCGGTGTGTGAGACGTTGCCTTATGCTGAGCAATGAACAAAGAGAACGGGAGTCCCTTTGAAAATAGAAACAGAATCCAGAAATTCCCAATTAGATCAAATATACCCTCTTGACAAGCCCCAGCAGAGCGAGACGCCTACAAGTCACCTGAGTTTAGTAACCGGCTTCCCATCAAAACCAGCGCAAAAATGGAGCTCGCTAAAATTAAGCCAATAAGGAGTGTCCTTCCTGTAGAGTGCCCGGCGGTGAGAGAGCTCTAGGTCAGAGAGAGAACGGGGTAAATTTGTCACTAATGTTCAGGTGACAGCTAGACGCCAAGAAATCTGTTCCATTCCTTTATAGATGTACGGCTAGAAAACACTAGGGACGTGTTTCCTTAACACACCTGCTGTCCCTGTTCACCCATCAGTGTAAAATGGGTACCTGGGTGTTAGTCAACTGGTGTGGGTCGCATCCTGGGACAAAACTAACCTAATTTGTCCGAAATGCTCAGCATAACAAGTGGCTTTCTATAAAGCAGTATGCCATTGATGTCAGGTAGGCCTGTATACCTTATACATGTACTTGTAGAAATAAAGATCATAAGAACATAAGAACATAAGAAAGGAGGAACACTGCAGCAGGCCTGTTGGCCTGTTCGTAGAATTACCGACAAAATGTAAAGTAAAAGGACAGAACTGCAACTAATGTGACATTTTATTGTGGCAACGTTTCGCTCTCTAAGATTTCAAGTTTATCGCAAACCTACCAACAAAAATGATCTCACCCACTTCTATTCCAGTCAAGATACTTAGACGAAAAGAGGCATCATCATCGGATTTTCCCTAAGAGCATACCGAATTTGTAGTCCTGAGTTTCTTGACGAAGAATGTACTTACATACACCAAACCTTCACTGATCTACAATTTCCTTCCTTTTTCACCAAAGACTGCAAGAAAAGAACTCTTCAGATCATAAATTCTCCACGCACCAACACCACTCCTAACAATGTTATCATCCTTCCCAACAGCCAGGTTGCATTGAACGTTTCCAAGGTACTCGCACAAACTAACACTAGAGTCGCCGTAGCATCCAGCACTTCCATAAGGGATCTAACCAAGACAAAATCCAGCCACCATGAACCAGTCAATGCAGGAGTTTACACTATACCTTGTGGAGGCTGTGACAAGATATATGTTGGGGAAACAACTAGGAACCTCGAAACACGCCTCAATGAACACATTAATGCATGTAGGAACAACGCCTGCGTCCAACACCGGAATTCCACCAATCACCTCGTGAAATTCAACAATGCCTGACTAGTAATCAGAGAGCCAAATTTCCTCAGGCGTAAATGCCTTGAATGATCATTAATCGCTGTTTCTAACACAATCAAGCAAATAAAGGCAGCTGCATCATCTCTGAAGTATTAGCAAAAATATTTTTCGAAACAATAAACCCTGCCATCACAGTCTCTGTTACACAAGAATACAACAGAGAAGGAACACTGAAACAGACCTTCTCAGATCCAACTTCCAACAGAAATATTTGTCTAATCTATTTTAATACTACTCAAGTAATAGTTTTTTGACCTTTTACTTTAAGTGCAAGTTGATTGTTCTACCATATTGTATTACTACTACTACTACTACAACTTATGTCACTACTACTACCACTAGTATTGCACCTCGCTCTGAGCCTATATATATACCCTCTGTGTCCATGTACTGTTTGTAACAGCTTGACAAAGCTACTGGAGAGCGAAACGTTGCCACAATAAAAGTCACATTAGTTGCACTTGTGTCCTTTTATTTTACAGAAATAAAGATATATTATTGTTATAATTATTATTATTATTAAAGGCCACAAAGATCTTCCTATGCATGGAACATCTGGAAGCTGAGCGATTTTCCTCTATTAAGATAAGATAAGGTTTCGTTCGAATTTTTAACCCCGGAGGGTTAGCCACCCACGATAACCAAGAAAGTCAGTGCGTCATCGAGGACTGTCTAACTTATTTTCACTGGGGTCCTCCATCTTTTCCCCCAGGATGCGACCCACAACAGTCGACTAACACCCAGGTACCTATTTGCTGCTAGGTGAACAGGACAACAGGTCTAAGGAAACACATCGAGATGTTTCCACCCTCCAGGAATCGAACCCGAGCCCTCCGTGTGTGAAGCGGGAGCTTTAGCCACCAGGCCACTGGTGTGATGTAGTTCAGCTGGGCTTGTGAGGTCTCTGGGGAGACCTAATTTAACCAATTATATGGTCACACCTTGCCTTGGCAAACGTCTGTAGCCACGCCCACGTCTGAGGTCTTTTGTTCTTGACGGCGTCAGACCTAGGCGTCAGGTCGTACACGTGGTTGTGGAGGGTGCTTGGACCACCATAAAAGCCCAAGGAAGAGCATGATCAGGAGATTCGAGCGGAGCTGCTGCTGGGGTGCAGAGCTCCTGAGCAGAGACTTCGAGCAGAGCTGCTGCTGGGGTGCAGAGCTCCTGAGCAGAGACTTCGAGCGGAGCTGCTGCTGGGGTGCAGGGCTCGGGAGAAGGCTGCTGAAGTCTCTGGAGGAGACTGTTGGAGGCATTGGGCAGAGTACTGGCTTGGCACAGTACTCGTGCTGTGTAGGTCTTGGGACCTGTGGCTTAGTTCCTGTGATGAACTGCCCTCTGTACTATATTGTAAGTTACATTCATTTTGGTCAAGTTGATTGTGTTCCCTGTCTCACTGCTTATGTGTACCACCCCATTTATCTAAACCACAATAATGTTCTGTTCCCAAATATATTATTGTACAAAGACTTAATAATAAACTGTGTTTGAGTAGAATAGTAATATTCACTGTCCCCGTTATTTGCTATTCCTATTTCTTGTATGTTATTATGTTTATATATGAGTGAAGAATGGGCGAGGCATATGTTAGTGAGTAGTGTAGAGTTAATGAGAGTGTCGTGGTGGTCACCACTGACCTGTCATTACCTACCTACCTCCGCTAATCATCTCACTCCTACCACCTCGCCTGCCTCTCCCCTGCCTACATAATCCCTTACTCCCATATTCCCCACTTATATCCTATTCAATCATTACCCCCCTACACGACACTGGGCCACCGGGGCACCTAGCCACCAGGCCACTGGGCCACCGGGGCACCTAGCCACCAGGCCCTCTTCTGTCATCTGGCTCCGTTATAATGACGACATTCTCATCATAACTCCCAGACGCTTCAAAATTCAAGCTCTCCAACACAAGCTTCACCAGATCAAACCGTCAGTCCGTTTTTCACTAGAAGTCGACAACACTCTTCTTTTCCTTGATGTTCTTCTCTGCTAAACTGACAACTAACTTCGTTTTAAAGTCTATCGAAAACCTACCAACCAACACGATCTTCTTCATTTCTACTCTCACCACGACACCAAATTTTTTGCTTCGTGTCCACCGAATCCGTAGCAATAAATTTCTCACTGAACAAGTACTTTCTAAACTTCACTATCCTCGTCACTTCATTAGCGACTGCAGACACCGTGCATATAACAACTAATCCAGACAAGATATTGACGAGAGGAGATACATAGTCCTCCCAACCAATTCCGTTGCCAAACACGTATCCAGGGTGTTCCAAGTACAGTATCTATCTCCCTGCCCACCACCATCAATGACATCACTAGCAGGAAACACCAGAGGGTTCAATTCTCTGCAGGGTAAACATAACCCCTTGGAACGATTGCAACCAATTATATGTAGGCGAAATATTCAGAGACCTCCAGAAACGTATTTCAGAACACCAATACGCAGGCAGATCGGACGATTTAAGGAATGCCTGCTGCCAACACCGAAACTCCCACAACAGTTTAATCAATTTCTGTGAGATACTATGTGCCTGAAGTTCACAGGTACTGACCTGTATTATTACACACAGATAATTTGGCGCAGATATAACTAAAAATATTACACTTATGTAATACTTACGTAATAACTCATTCCTTTGCTTACATATTAATATAATTACCAAATGCACCGCAACTACTCAAACCCACACCATTTGCAGATGACACTACATACGTCTTCTCTCACCCAAGCCAAGTCATACTAGCCAATAATGTAAATACTGAATTACAGAAAATATCTACCTGGATGATGATTAACAAGCTTACTCTCAATATTGACAAAACCTTCTTCATTCAGTTTGGTAACAGAACTACAGATGTCCCTCTTAACATAATGATAAACGGATCACCTATCACAAAGCTCACAGAGGGAAAATTCTTAGGAATCCACCTTGATAATAGACTCAAATTTCAAACACATGTACAACAAATTTCCAAGAAAATCTCCAAGACCGTAGACATACTATCGAAGATACGGTACTATGTTCCACAATCAGCTCTCCTGGCCCTATATCACTCACTTATTTACCCCTATCTCACCTATGGAATTTGTGCATGGGGCTCAACAACAATAAATCGTCTCAGACCATTAATTACCCAAAAAAAGGCTGCAGTCAGAATGACAACAAATTCCCACTCCAGGCAGCACACTCCACCAATATTCAAAACTCTAAACTTACTCACCGTACAAGACATCCATACTTATTATTGTACCTACTACATACATAGAACACTAAACTTGGATATAAACCCTCCCCTCAAACTTCTCCTTACCAACCTCAACAGAACACATGATCATAACACAAGGCACAGATCACTCTTTGATGCTCCCAGTGTCCATCTCACACTATGTAAAAATTCGATGCACATAAAAGGCCCAGAAATCTGGAATTCATTACCTGTGAATACAAAAGAAACACTGTTTATCAATTAAAGTCTCTTCTTAAAAACCACTTACTCAACCTCAACTAGATAAATACTGAATAACTGTATCTCATAAATGTATAACCTGTGACCCTATCAAACTATGTTTTTTTAATTACATTACCTAATAAAATGCTACATTCTTCTCCATTCTCAGGAATGTACAGTTACTCATCTAATGACCATATGACCTGTTTCCTGCACTACAAATCATCGATTTTATTCGATTTGATCGGATTAATAAATTGTATGACTTCACTTAG